CCCCAACAGGGGACCCAAGATGGCTCATAACAGATTTAAAAACTATACAAAACTATATTAAAATACTATACAATCAAACATTGAACAGATTAAAACCAGTATTAAAAACAATTTAATTTTTTTTAAAAAAACAACTATTTTGTCTCTTACTTTGAGATATATTATTATTCCTACTCTACCAAAGAAAGAAACATGGTTGATTTGGGCTAGACTGAGCTCACTTATGGCAGAGTCTGAATTTTTCTTCATGGTATGTTGCAAATCCAACATGTTGTTCTCACCCTTTCATAGCTCACCAGAGACTCCACCGAAGAACCTGGGTTCCACTATGATAAGCGCAAAATCCTACTTTTCCAAGAAGAAGAATTGCAGGCTTCTAGGCATTCTGTTATTATACTGATATTCTCTAACTGTGTCTAATTACAGCATTTGCACAGAACTTCCAGGCATCTGGGACGGAGGATTTTCTTACTAATACAGATAAGAGGGCAGAAATGGTCAGTGGCACTGGACAGAGAGTGAAACTTCTATATATGCTGTGCTAGCAAATTCTCAGCATCTAGCTAAAGAAGACTGGGGGAATCTATGCATAGCTATTTATTTGCTAGGCACTGGTGGAAGCCACTGCAAGTAAGAAATGAGTATGTATCTCCACAAAGTCTATCTGCTTATCCTTCTTTGGCATTCCAGCCTCAACAGCTGTTTATTTACAGTTGCTGAGTAGCCTAATAAAGCAGCAGAATCCAGATATACTTTGAAAAACTAGTGGTCCAGAGGAGTAGAGGAATTAAAGAACGGCCTTCAAATTTTGCTTTGACGTTGAGTAAAAAAATTAACATAATTGGCACACATTTTAGAGGACTGTGAATCTGGACTACAGTGTTGACCAAAAAGGGCAGAGGGCTTAATTTGAGAAACAGAAGCAATGAGATGGGCGTGGGGGTGGGGAGAATCATTATTTATTATACCAAAGGCACAGAATTTGAGAAATAAATCCTTATTTTGTTCTCACAAGTGAGAATGAAAAATTTAAAATGAGACAATTACAAGAGCTTTTATGCATTTTTTTGTGTGTGTTACAGGACTGTTTACTGGAAAATTTGCTCAGATTTTTTTTACATAAAATATGCAACACTCACCCTCCCTTTGCAGCTAATTTTTAAAAAAAATCATTCCATTCTCATGCAGGAGCTACAAACGCCTCAGCAGACAACAGTTTCTTGAATGAATATCTTAAAAAGTCGGGAATTCTTTTTATTGTCAAGAATAAGAAAGTTTGTAATTGTTACCTCCTTACACAAAACCGTGCAAGGTTTCAGTACATTCAGATCCCTTCCTCATATACACTGGGAAGAATCCTCTTAGCAATTGTGGAGTGGAACCGCTTGGTGGACAGATTCAGTGGCTCTAGTGATTTCTGGCTTGCAGCTATGCAAGCTGACAACCGCCTCATTAAAAAACAAACAGGATTTTGGCCAGTGCTAGAAAATCAGGCAGAGGAAAGGAGGCAAAGACTTGGCATTTAAATCATGTCTCCATATTGTTGCTTTGGGGAAGAATATCAGTTGGACAATAAAATTAAAAGAAGAAATAAAGAGGACAACAAGGTTGTAGCACCTTAAAGACTAACTGCTATATTTTAATGTGACAAGTCCACTTCCTCGGGTTTACAGTGGGGAAGAAGTATCTGCAAGCCCACACGTGGCTCATCGTGTAACCTGTCTGTATTAGGTTTCACCTACAGCTATCTCTGGGTTTCATCAGTTGGACAACTGTCTGCATCAACCCCGGCTGCTGCACTGGCACCTCACTGGATAGAGATCCTGCTTTGATCCAATCCTGTCTCTAGCCTCAACATCCTCTGTAGAACCCTTTTCCTTGTTCATTTTAGTAAAGCTGGTGCAGGAGACCTTCTGCCTATGTAGAGAAAGGAGAGGAGGATACTAACAGGACCAAACATGCCATTAAACATTTTGGTGTTCTGTCTATCAGGGCCCTTATTTTGAATTGAGCATTTTAAAGCTGTCATGTTGTATGCGTGAGCGTGCCAAGTTAGGACTAGATTATGTCAAGCCCAGGCAGAGAAAGATAATCCTTGGAAGACTTTGATGTTTCTTTCTAGTGATGACTTCCAGACATCCTGCTGCTAAAGCTTAACATGATTCCCTTGACACTCTTTCTTTCTCTTTCCCTTGTAATATGAAGCCAGGGAAGCTCACACTCCTTCACCCTATATCAGCTGCCCTTTCTTAATAAGAAAGACAGATGTTTGTTGCAACTCATGGATTCTGAAGGGAGTTTCCTTTTATTTTATAGAAAGAAAGTGTTTATATTGCACAAATGTTTGCTACTTGAGCAACACTTAAATACATACTTAAAAGCAAACAAGTTTCATTTACTAGACCTTAGTTCTTGCTTTTATCCTCTGGAGTCATGTTACTTACACTGAGATGTGCTTTAACTGTTTTATCTGTTCAAGGCATTAAAGAGAACACAAGGTACTTCCAAATTATCGGAATGAATAATTTCCCATTTCCAAAAAGAAAACGTTTGTCCTTCCCAGTCAACTGGATTTAATTTTTAACCAAGCACAAGGCTCTCCCTCTGTGGGACAAATATGGGGCCAGAATCCAATAAGGCAGTGGTCCTCAACCTTGGGCCTCCAGATGTTCTTGGACCACAGCTCCCAGAAGCCTTCACCACCACCCCTGCTGGCCAGGATTTCTGGGAGTTGAAGTCCAAGAACATCTGGAGGCCCAAGGTTGGAGACCACTGCAATAAGGGATGTTGGGTTAAAGAGGTAAGAGAAAACCCTAGCCGTGAAATGTATTTAAAAAATCCTTCTAAGGGGCTCCATAAAGTTTCCTGAAGTACCTTCAGAAGCCACTTTGTCACCCATGATCCTTTCTAAGACGCCACGTGGAAGTTTCTCAAAGGCTTCATTGGTCGGAGCAAAGAGGGTGTAATGGCCGGGCTTCCCAAGAGTATCCATCACGCCTGACGCAAAGGCAGCTGCCTGGAAAAGAAACAGGGGTCCTTATTAAGACCATTGCAAGTTTTAAAAAGAGCATTGTTGGTTTTAGAAAAAAAAAGAATCTATTTCTTCGTATTAGGAACTAAATATAGAAATATCAGCCGCAAGACCACTTCAACTCATATCCCATGGTATTCTGTTTTGACTGCTCTTTAAGGAACTGAAAGTACTGAACCGTCTATCAGATAAATTCTGAGTATTTGGGGGGGGGGATAAAGACAACTGTACTGTAAATATTCACCTATAGGAAAAATATATATTTTAAGGAAGCTTCCCTCAATATGATTTGAATATGAGGCTACTCAGCTTTCAGCTGGCAGCCACATACGTGTGTTATGGGGTGCTTGCACTGTTGTAGAAGACACCAATTGAAGAGGCCATCCTTCCCCCATCAGTAAGTACTATAAGAATCTAAAAGTAAGGATAGGTCCCGGTGATGCCGCAGAAATGGGCAGGCAATAGTTGAGAGTAGAATTCCCCCTGCCCGCAAGGCTTCATATTGCTGTTGCCTACACTTAGGCAACAACAAGCTTTGTGAGTTGTAATGCTGATGCTTCATTCCCTGCCTTGCTCCAGATGGATTTGTGGCAAGCCAAAATGCCCAGAGCAAAGGAAGGGGAGATGAAAGAAGGCTAGTGAGTGTAATTTTAAAATAGATATTGCCTGAAACAATATCTATTTGTTTGAAACAATTTTTTCCATATGTCTGAATAAGTGGACATGATCCACGAAAGCTCACATTCTATATGTCTGAATAAGTGGACAGCTCACATTAAAATATAATAGTCTTTAAGGCACCACATGTTTTTGTTTTGTTCTGTTTCTTTGGATTTTGCCTGAAAGGAAACAAAATAGTTTGAGATTTTCAGCAAGTATTGTTGGAAGGAAAGAAATACAAAGATCTATTCCTTGAAGAAAACTATTAAGTTAGATCCCTGTCAAGCTTTCAGATGCTAATGAATTAGTTAACACAAATGAACGTGTCAGAAAGCAATTATTTGGAATTCCTTAAAAGCAAACTCTTTCCCCATTATTCAAAAGTAACTAAAATAACTGTATATTTGTCAAAAAATGTACAAGTCATTGTCTGGTGATACTAACACACCTGACTAGTGAGACTATGCACATCTTGTAATTTTAAAAATAACTTTAAATTCCATTACAGGTAAACAGCAAAGGAAGGAAGGTTATTGCTTGTGATACTACAGTTGTAACATATGTAATATAGTCAGGCCTAACCTGTTACATAAAGCAGTTAATTACTAGTAATTCATTATTTACCATGAGTTTTTTGAGCTTTGCCCTTGCTTTGTAGGCTGATTCCCTAGCAGCAGATAGTTTCCCAACTCTAATACCAAATCTGACAACTTTATAATCAATACTAGACACAAGAAATGGGTCCACGTGACATCTTAGTCCACAAGACGTGGAGTAAGGAAACCTATACTGAGATGTTTCAATTCCCATTTTCACCATGCTTAAGAAGTTGACGACACGAGTGTTTAGCCCACTGTTTGGCCCACTCTGCAGAGATGGACTATTTCACTCTTAAAGATGGTGATCAGATGATGTCTTTGGTGGAGTGAACAGGCTCAGCCTCCAGAGTGGTCTTATCTACACCTTTCTGAGCCCTTGCCAGAGGCTTCTACTTGTTTTTGGAGCAGGTAGGATCACGCTGTTTCAACCCATTTCCAGCGTGCGTGACAGCTGAAAACTAATGAAAAGACAGCCGTCTGGCATTCAAGGACATGTAGCGTTATCAAGATTCTTTTTCTGTAGTATCATACCAATCTCTACGAATGCGTTTGCGCACAAGGAATACGACACACAAAAAGACTCAGGATGAACAGTACAACTTTCTAAAGCAGTGTTTTTCCAATATGCAGATGCACATTGTTTCATATATACTAGGGGAGGAAAGATTACCTGAAAGTAAGGGCAAGCTATACATGCTCTGATTGCACAACTCGTTTTAGACATTTTTCTAGTTAAACTGGACATCATGCACATTGAACCCATGGAATATTAAAGGAACAGAACAGGGAAATCTACACATCCCTAGTTCACACTAAACCGGTGTTGAAACAAATAGCTGAGACATCAGCCAAAAATGTTGCATCTCTGAAGGAGCTGTGGGGAACATCGTTTAGCCTGCTGTATGCACTGTCTTCACACATCACATTCAGTTCATTCTGATTTTACCCGGATGCTGTTCCATTCAGACCTATCCTTTCATCTCAGGATACAACTACGCACTGTCTTCCCACATCACATCAGTTCATTCTGACCTATCCTTTCATCTCAGGATACAACTACATCTACGTCCAGGACATTTCCAGTTTTGATGTAAGTGGAAAACTTACTCTCAGAGAAGAGAGGTCATCTTCTGCTTCAATGAAGTCCTCAATGGTATTTCCAACCGGGGTCAGCACACGGTCAATGACATGAACGACACCATTTGTAGCAATCTGGTTGCCATGAATAACTCTGGCACAGTTAACAGTGACGACCTGTTATTTTAACAATGATGCGGGAGAGAGTGTTAAGCAGGCTGCTTGCTGTATATTTGGCTCCCTAGCTTTTTGTTATGACAACCAGAAGACCGCTCAGGAAGCTTTAAATATTTCTCCATTGGGTTCTTCTTATAACTTGTTTATGAGACATGCACCGACTGTTTTTAAATGTTCTGGGAAGAATCCAGCTAGTACATATTTTGCAATAGGTCTTGTGCTGGCCCCACTTTTCAGTTGCATTTCATCTCATTTTACTGAATAGCTGATCACAATCATGATTTTTTTAAAGAGTTGCTTGGTTTGACAGATAGACCTATGGATGGGAATCATGGCCGAAGTGGATATTTGGACCTGGAATAATTTAGCTGGAATCCAGTGGGGCATTTTAACAGCATCAACCATTCCAACGAGTCTTACCTCTGCCAGACCTGTTACAACAAAGGGGAGATCATTTTCAATGCCTAATCTACCTATGCAGAACCAATCCGGATATCTTTTAGTCACCAGAAAAATCCTTCTTTATTCAGCTAGGCATTCTAAAACATTTTTGCTTAATATCTTACATATATTAAACCTTTTGGCCAAGATTTTGTGTTACCAACCGAGAAAGTGTGGCATAAAAAGACAACCCCCCAAACCTGGTATGGAAGGTTTCTGAACCCTCCAGAGCAGAGTTTTGGGGCATGTGAAGGGGCTGGAGGATATATTTTTTAATGGAAAGCAACTGGATTCAATAGAACCCTGGGATCTGGTCTCCTTCTTGTAAGTCAAATTTACCTCCCGGTTGTTTTGAATATACTTACTGCTATTTTGCTGTTTATTAATTTTGTAAATCATCTTTAAATAATTGACAATAGATGGCATTATTATCAGTTATAAATAAATAGTGATCTGCAACTTTTTGATGCTGATTTTGATGAAATCTTTGACTGCTATCTGGATCCAACTCGGTGTTTCTAAAAATGAAAGCATGATGTATGCAGATCTTTCTAGACACATTTGTGATACATATCTGAGGTTTAACATATAGAGTACCAGATAAGGAAGGGAAAAAAAAAACATTTTTGACCACACTTACTCCATTGGGATAATGATTTATATGAAGGTTTTGGTTGTTGTACATAGACACCAGGGTCATGCCATTCCTCAGGTCCTTTGTGAGCATGCGCTTATTGACCATGTGGTTACGAAGCGCATTGTACAGTTCAATGTTCACATTCTCAATCAGGCCACTGTGGATTTCCTGGAGGGAAAGGATTTATTTAGTTCACTCCCCATACACATTATTTCAGTCAATAAAATATCCAACAGATCTCTCTTCTGCAAGTGAAACAATCTCTTCCAAGTTTCTTGACAGCTAATATTCTGTTGGAAAAGTTACTCTGCTTATTTGGCTATCCAGCAAATTCTGTTCTTTAGTCTTTCTTCATTAAAATCCCATATTAAATTGATATTTTATTCTCGTTGCTCAGTTTCTTGGACATTTAGCTTTCTTTCATGATTATTTTGCTTTTAATTCTTTTTTTTCTGCACTAGGAAAATTTTTCTCTGTGTCTAGCCAATCAGCTAATTCTTCTTCTCAAATTCAGATCCAGGAAAGTCATTTTTAAGCATTTGATATTCAATTACAAAGCGTGCCCAACCAGAAAATTATTCCCACTACAGTTTTTCTTTAAGTGACTCACTCTGTTACTTTTACATTGGTTAGTGCTTTTTCATTATTTTTAGTTCCTTTTCTTAAAAAAAAATCTAAAAAAGTAAGAAGAGACCTAACTTTTCAAGGCAGAAAATGCTTTGAAAATCCATAAGCAAGCATTTGTAGTCCAGAAAAGTAACAAAAACATAACCAGAACTTTTCATTACACGGGGAAAGTAACAATGTCACCAGTTGTTATAAAATTAATATTACCATGCACTCTTTTTATGCTCAAAACAAGTAATGTATTACAGGTAATGTCTTTACCAATTATTTTCATGCTCTAATTCATATGCAAAATCTTTGTATAATGAAAATTCCGTCACATCTACAACGTTGGGTTCCATGTCCCTGCTACTGAATCATGCTGAAAAGGGTCGCTATGCTGGGTGTGATCTTTACTGTGGACTTTTAAAGTGACCCTTCCACCCAAATGTGACCTAGTCCTGATTGCTTCAAACCCCCTAAATAAAATAAAATAAGTGAGCAGCCCTACTGGAAACCAAAAAAAGTCTGGACTGGGCACAGAGCAAGCTCAGGTTATTTCATCTAGTAAAGGTAAAGGTACCCCTTGACAATTTTTGTCCAGTCGTGTTCGACTCTAGGGGGGCGGTGCTCATCCCCGTTTCCAGGCCATAGAGTCAGGGTTTTGTCCAATGAAAATTCCGTCACATCTACAACGTTGGGTTCCATGTCCCTGCTACTGAATCATGCTGAAAAGGGTCGCTATGCTGGGTGTGATCTTTACTGTGGACTTTTAAAGTGACCCTTCCCCCCAAATGTGACCTAGTCCTGATTGCTTCAAACCCCCTAAATAAAATAAAATAAGTGAGCAGCCCTACTGGAAACCAAAAAAAAGTCTGGACTGGGTATAGAGCAAGGTCAGGTTATTTCATCTACTCACTAGCAAATAGAGCAAACCAGACCATGCTGTAGATGCTCAAAAGAATGAGTTGAGTAGACAGTTGGATGGCACCCTCCCTTAACTTAGGTGGCATCTACTCACTAGCAAATAAAGCAAAGCAAACCATGCTGTGGATGCTCAAAAGAATGAGTTGAGTAGACAATTGGATGGCACCCTCCCTTAACTTAGGTGGGCCAGGCTCATCAGTGATAGGAGACCAACCGTTTTCTAACATTACTTGTGTTAGAAAATGTACAGCCCATTATTCCTGTACATTTATATTTATATTCTTATTCAAGATGCTACATATATATTTATAAACTTGCTCATATCTTCTTTCCCTTAAGCTTGGAGTAGGAGTCCCTGTTGCGAGCTGTCTTTCTTCAGCTATAATATGTAGGGGACCAACAGCGGCTGAGTCCAGAATCAAATGTAGGTGTATACCAGTGACCTGGAATCTGGCCACACGGTTGCCTCACTCTGCATGCAGTGTTAGCTCCTCCCTGCTTGACCTATTGGCCACCCTTGAAGTGGAGCCACTCCCTCAGTTTCTTTCTCCTTCATTCACCCTCCCACCCACCCTCTCTCTGTGTGTGTTTCCCCATTTCCCCCCTCCTCTCTTCCTTCCTGTCATCCTTCTCTCTCTCTCTCTTTGTCATAACAGTTTACTTTATACTTACACGATCCAAAAGATCCCAGGCTTCATTGCTTGGTGCAAAGAACGTATAAGAGCCAGGTCCTTCAATCTCTTCCCTCAGTTTTGACATGTCGGAATATCGTTGAGTGGAAGTAGCTCCCACAATGCCCAAAGTACCATAGACATGATCTATGGGAGCAACTGGAAGACAGAAGACACAGTCTGTCCGTTCATCTGATTTTTTTTTTCTTAAACAACACTAACTCCCTTATTGACACATAATTTTGCAGCACTTATTTATGGACTTTGATGAACTGAGTACTCATTGTCTTAGTTTCCAGAGATACTTTCCAATAAACGTTATATGGATGTCTAAACCAATGAATTAAAATGATGCCCAAAGGGAAGGAAGACTTTACTTTAGTTAGGAGGCTATGCCTTTTTTTCTATAAAAGCTGTAGAAACTGAAATGTGCAATTTAATTGGTGTATGAATTCTCCACTCAGGAGCACTGAAAAAAGTTAGTCCATGCCAGTTTACATATTATCCTATTCACATGAATGAATCAAACCTATGATGTAAAAAAAAGTGACTACTTCTAACATGTGAATCTTTCTTAAAGGAATGTTAAATAACAGCATTAAGCAACAATAATCCAGCTTTCTATTTCTTCTCCACTTTGGAACAAAAGGAGAGAACAAATTAATGTGAACCTCGTGGTGCAGTGGTTAAACTGCTGTACTGCAGCCAAAACTGTGCTCATGACCTAGGGTTCAATCCCAGGTAGCCAGCTCAAGGTTGACTCAGCCTTCTATCCTTCCGAGGTCGGTAAAATGAGTATCCAGCTCTGGCGCGGGGGGCAATGTGTAGCGTGCATCATTAACTGATAAACGGCCCGAGAATGCTTGAAGCACTATGGGGGATATATAAGCAGCACACTTTGTTTTGCTTTTTCTTGTACCTGCAGGACATCCTCGCATGCCTTCCATCTTCATGTAGCCAGGACAGCATTCATATAAGACAGTTCTAAAGGGTATATCAGCACAAGAAGGTTATATTTTCCCAAATCTTATCATTATAATCTGATACTGTTAATATCTACTTATTAAAAATCCAAATATACATAAAATGGCTGGCAGCTATTTTAAATCTACAATAAAATAAGGAAATAAACACATAGCACATCATAAAACATCAGTGAAAGCAGTTATTTTCCAGTTTAACTAAATATGTGGCTACACTGGCAATTTGATTTGCAGCCTGTATTAAGGTTGAATCCACAGTCAGTGATCATACAGGAGCTGCGTATTGATTCAGGAGTTCAGTGTTCACACTCAGTGTAATATGATTCACATTTCAGCACACAGTCTTCTTTCTTTCCTCTGGTCCCTCCTCTGCCAATCCTTTTATGGTTTGTTCTCAAACCGCTTAGTTTTGAAAGAATTCTACAGTGTTCCAGCAAAGGTGGCAGTGTTCTGAAGTTCTTAATATAGAAATACCACATACTACAGGAACATCTTTTGTCCCATTTGGGTTTTTTCTGTTTTGTTTGCAATTTTAAAAAAAATTGTCTGGAGGTGATCTAGCGCTAAACTAAAATATAAATGCTAGTGACAAGGCAATAAAGTGATCTAGTACTAATCTCATATATGTAAAAAAATAATAATAATGGAGGAGGATAAGGGGAAATGAATATAGAGGCAGGTATCTCTGTGGTCCTGAACATCATGCCCCAACTGCGTAAAAAAATAATAATAATGGAGGAGAATCAGGGGAAAAGAATATAGAGGCAGAGGTCCTGAACATCATGCCCCAACTGCTTAGATCACTGAAATACCAACCCCAGCTTTACAAGAACAAATCAACTGAACACATGGGAAAAGGTCCGTTCAAATCAATCTAGACTGAAAAAACTGGAAGCAGCCAGTAGCAGCAGAGGGAAAAAAAAGTAATAATAATGGAGGAGAATCAGGGGAAAAGAATATAGAGGCAGAGGTCCTGAACATCATGCCCCAACTGCTTAGATCACTGAAATACCAACCCCAGCTTTACAAGAACAAATCAACTGAACACATGGGAAAAGGTCCGTTCAAATCAATCTAGACTGAAAAAACTGGAAGCAGCCAGTAGCAGCAGAGGGAAAAAAAAGCGGGGTTGGGCAAAAAAGTGCTGAACTGTTTCGAATTCACAATAGGATTGTGTGATCAGGAGAAGGAAAAAAAAACATTTTGGAATCAGCCATACTATAATTGCAGCAAATCTCTCAGTATTTGATTGTGTAGTCACAGCCCAAAAGTCAAAAGAGATGATACTGTAAATATGTTGCTGGAAGCAGAGCTTGCTAAAACGCTGAAGGCCATGTGTTTGCCATAGTATGTGCTCACCTCTGTACTCTGCATAATGTCAGCTCTGTTTTTTGAATGGTAGGTAAACAAGGGCTTAATTTGCAAGTCTAGTTGCCCAGTAGACATGTGCATTCATTTTTGTTTGGAGTCTAAATTCCAGAAGTATATATTCCAGGAGAGCCTCCTGCCAGATGGACATCTAAATTGTGCTGACCTGGAAGAGGGCTGGGGTCATAGCCTAGGATTGGCTAAGCTCAGACTTAGTTTGCTGCAGCAAAAGGAAGTTGCTGTGGGGCAACGAGGTCCAAGCTTGGACTGTCCTGGACCATGAACCCTTCTAACCCAGCCTTCCTCCAGCTCAGCACAATTTAGGTTTCTTTCTGGCAGGTGAAACTCCCAGAATTCCTGAACGTTGTCTTAGCTTTAACTGCTAATTCTTGGCTGAATTTACATCCCAACAGAGACATGCGAACCTGGAATCAATTGCAAATTGCATAACATAGGTAAAAGCAATATGAAGAGGAATAGGCACTCATGCTTAGGAAGGAGAAACGATCGTGATTTTTAGAACTTTCGGAACTTTGCAAGATGTGACATAAAAACAACAGCTTTATAATCCACTATGGTGCTCTTCAGAATCAGCCGTGTGGAGAAATGGCCAGGAGGAACAAAACTACAGCCATCTAGTTGACCTAAAAGGGAGGCCACTTGTGCTCCGTGTCTTTCCAAAGGGCAAATGGATTCACTTGGGGTTTAGATACTATATTCAACAGCTATATTATAGCTTTTCTGATCAGTGGCAGTCTTTGTGGCAGACCAAAGAAAGTAGTATGCACTTCCCAGCTCTAACATTTGGGACTAAAAGCAGACTGGCCAAGCTCGACAGTGGCTGCTGACTTACGGGAAAAGAAGTGAAAGGCAGAACTGTCAGCAGCGCTGCCTCCCCACCTCCCCCCCCGTGCTTCGTGCTATCCAGGAGAAAAAGCAAGAGCAGTTAAAAGAAAGAAAAAATTACTACAGAAAAGCCGTAATATTTGCCAGAGAGAAACAGCTACAGCTACGATGTTCTTTAAGGATATTTTAGATCATCGTATTCCTTTAAACACACACCACATTTCCTCTGGCAGACACAAGGGATTCATGTCTAGTCAGCAGTTGGCTTTGCCTTTGCCGAGCCATATGTTCCGTCATGGTTCAGTGCAATCAGAACACCAATACGTCACATATATGTGAAGGGCGGGGGATGGTTGAGGAAAGGGAAGGGCTGTTTCCAAGTGGGAAATGTGCAATCCATTTGCCCTTTACAAAGATCTCTGGCAAACTACTTGAGGTCCTCGATGGCTGTCTCTTTGAGCCACAGCAGCGCCTGGCTCAATGTCCGCCCTGCACATTCCAACCTTCTTCAACGCTAGAGGACACTGAAGCAAAGCACCCCTTCTTGGTGACCCTCTTTGAAAGGAAACAAGCGTTCTAAAAGAGTTAGGGTTCAATCCTGCTGGATCCTTAGGAGGATGAGCACTCACTTCAGGCTCAGCCTTTTCCCCTATGAAAGGAGGCAGGAACTGAAGAATAGACAGGAGAACCCTGCACTCATGCTCATCATTCAGTCCCAAATCTCACAGTGTATGGGAGTGGGCTCAGATTATTTGACAGGGTGGAAGCCACGCTTTTCACTCACGTCATCACTTCAAACATTCTGTCACTGAAACTCTTGTGGTTTCCGTGGTTGTTTTTTTTTTAATTGTTGTTTCCTAGGTGACAAATTTGGCAATTCCATAAGACTTCTATCTATGTAACACACTTCTTCAAGGGTAAAAAAAAATGATCCTCTACTTTGAGAAGAGTTGTGCTTCGATTGGGCAAAGAGAGAGCATATTTTCCCCTGTGATGTGAAGCCTAATCTAACAGCTGAAGGAAAACAGATGGGGAACCTCTGAAGGTAGTGGTGAGCTCTCCAAAATGGAAGGCACTCAAGAGAAAGTTAGATAGCCATCTGTTGGATATACTTTAATTTAGATTCCTGCATTGAGAACTAGGTTCAGTTTGATGGCCTTATAGGCCCCTTCCAACTCTATTATAAGTCTATGGTTCTAATTATACCAATGAAATATATTTGCATATTTCACTTTTGCTAGGCCTTGAGCTACACAGAGTACTCGAGTAATGAAAATGATACTCAGCCAGCTGTCCAGCATTTCCTACCCACTTTCAGTGGGGTTTTTTTGCAATCATGCGGGTTAGAATCTTGCGTTGTGTGATACTGTATTTTTTTAAAAAAAATGAAACTGTGGGTGATCGTGGAACAAAGGAAGGCTAATTGCCTTAGAGAAAGAACAAAGGAGTTGACAGCGGATGTCCGAGCCAGCGGAGCCTACAGGCAACGCCCTGAGAGCTCTTTTATTTACTTAGCACGATTTACATAGTATGTTGTGAGAGAGACAGATAGGATACTAGTTACCTAATCGCAACCAGGATTGGCTGAAATAACCCTTTGATCTTATGCACTACCGCTAAGCAAAAGGGCAGAATAAGAGGTTACCCCACCTGCTGGCAGCTGCTGCTTCCTTCCAGGAGTGTATGCACATCATTGAAACAGAATGCAGCTACAACCTTTCAGCAAAAGTTTCCGTCATGAAACAACTGTTAAAATACTTTGTGATGATGGTGTTCTGCTTCAATAGTTTTGGTATGTAGGGCTCATATATGGCTTGTCTATCTAGATGGACATTATTTCCAGTTCAAACAAAGGCTCCTGTACCTGTTGTCTTTTTCTCCAATGCCACCATCTACCAAAATTCAATCCATAATAGCAGCCCTCTCTAAAGATACATCTTTTATTCCTCTATACCAGCACAGAAACCTGCAGCCTGGCAAACCACAGTTGCCTGTGGATCCAGACACCTGGGAGTTGAGGACATACAACCTCTATGACAGATGCTATCCTGTTCTTGGTTAGAATATTTTCTAAACTGTCTTAGAAAGCCTATTCTGTGTTGTGATGTGGGGATTGTTACCCCTGCACTAAAGAGCATATTCTGGGTTATCTAGCTTAAAACAAATTCCTGAGTTACACTTTAAATGTACTAAAATCCATCAGCACATTCCTGAGGTGTAAATACACAAGAGCCAGTGTGGTAAAATGGATAGACTGACAGAGAGGGACTCATTAGAACAGGGTTCAAATCCCTGGAAACTCACTTGGGGGGGGGGGAAATGGCACTGGTGAAGCCACTCCTTGAGCACTTCACATATCTTGAAAAACCTATTAGGGTTGCCATAAGTCAGAAGCAACTTGACAGCCCATAAAAATGTAATACAAGCACTAATATACAGAGCAGCAAAGAAAAGAGGTACATGAGAGCAGCAGGAAAGCTACATTTATACCCTTTTTGCCAGAGCATGAAAAAATCAAAGATTGGGATAAGGCTAGTCTCACATATGCAGCCTGTCCATGCTTTGTTATAATTTCCCCTCTAATTTAGTAATCCTAGAATCAGGCAACACATCAGTTCTAAATCTGTGCTGCTCTGGCACACAAGATTTCTATTCTGCCATAGACGTTTGCTGCCTGTGCGCTGCCATTTGAGCACTGCACGACGCAAGGTGGTCATCTGTGCCAGATGTGATGAAAACCAGAGGACTTACGCTTTCTTTCCACAGATCGCTCCTTGGTACCAGTTTCTGCAAGTGCTGAAGTATTTCTTATTGGTCCCCATAACTTGCTGGAGAGCACAGACATTCGGGCTGGAGTGGGGAGAAAAGGGTCAGTGTCTATGAGTCAAAAATCAGAATCTGCATTTTGCTTGAGACTTATTTTACTGTTCAACTGGTTCCCACAACGAATCCCCCTCCAGATGCTAAGTCACATCTGAATAAATAGCCAATTTCTTTTTCCAAATGTAAGTCTGGTAAGGTAGAGATTTTATGATGCGGGAACCTTGAGTGATATTGTGCCACCTATAAGATGATGGGTTCAAACAGTCATCTTCAAGAGTCTACACTACAGCTACAGCAGTATGCTAATATTTCAACTGCCATGGCTCCATCCTACAGAACCCTGGGATTTTGTAGTTGAAAATCCTGTGCTAGTGAGTTCTCGAGCACTCCCCAAATTACAGCATTTTGTAGTTTTCTTATCTGTGCTCTCAAACTGCCATACCTGTGTCAGGTAGATGTCCTCTTATCTATCCACTCATGTCATGGAAAAAGCTTGCAAGTGGCTAGATCACAGTGCCTCCCCTGTCAGATCATATGAGCCAATACTGCCTCCAGGAGGCAAGCCAGATCTTCACATTCTCTTCTCTTCACAGGTTTGTGCAGGTTTTTGTAGTGTTTCAAACACCTGCAAAACTTATTTGACCAAGCACAGCAGTGGGATGAAAGAAACCAGTATATGTCTCTATGACAACACCTTCTACAGTCTCAGAAACTGTTTTTCCTTCAACCAAAATGTCAGTTGCCTCCAGCAATTCTGCTCTGAGACAGTTCCTGGCATCCTTCTGCTGTCTTGGCATTTTGACATCATTCTCCTGAACATTCTGGGAAAGGAAGGGACTCCTGAGATCCCGCCTTGCCTTCATGCCAGACAGATAAAAAACAAGCAAGCAAGCTAACAAACAAACAAACAAACAAACAAAACCAACAGAGTAACCTTTTGTCTTTAAGTGGACAGTGGCTCAAAACATATACCTCTACACAATATAATCTGCAGACTGCCTTATTAGAATTGGCAACAGCTTGGAATGAGGCACAAATAATGCCCTCTTGATCTTGTCGAGTGTCATCTTGCTGTCAGCAAGAGGTACACATTTTATTTCCTTAGCTTCTCCATGGAAGTTGTAACTCAAGTGGTTGCTTTGATTGCCACTGTTTGCAATGCCATAAGTGCCCCCAAGGAAATAATCCCATGTAACTGAGGGAAAAAAGGGGATAGAAATGACACAATCTTGTGCAGAAGAACTTCCACTGCCTTGTCGTGCTTCATGTTGTCCTGTTGTTGTACTTTCACACAATAGTGTCATGGGATAATAGAATGGCACTTCAAATTAGGTTTTTTTAAAGCATGAAGAACTCTTTGTTGTTGTTGTTGTTACTACATTTGTATAGTCAAATTTGTTTACACAGATGTATCATCTTTACCTGGGCAGAATATCTCATGAGCCTTTGAAATGGTGAATTGTTAACCATTTTTATTTCTGCTGCATGGCTACATCTCAATTAAAGTTCCTAACTGAGCGTTCAGAGTTAAGAAGTTAATCAAGGGGCTTCTCACATGGAGAGAGAGAGAGAAAAAAGGAAAAGAACCAAATATTCTATGTCACAGTTTCCTTGGATGTACAACTTATTACGGGGGGGAGGGGGCTTAACAAACTGTTTCATACTCATGCTGTTCTAGATCAAAGGAATAACTGATGATAAATCTGAAATGTTCCACCCCCCAAAAGGAACACAAAGAAAACAGGGTTTTGGGACACTGCCCTCTAATTGTCTTCCTTCGAAACTGCCTTCTTCGTTCCAAACTCTGGGGCAAATGAACTCTTTCTTACTCCATGGTGACAAAAGGGTACTCTGGCGCTGCCTAAGAGTCCTTGCATCTCTTCAGACTTCATATGGTCCAGGGCTGAGCCTTGACATCAAAACCAGTAGTTAAGCTGAGCTCTGATGAGCCCTGGCAAATCTTAAACTCTCAAGTGTGGAAAGACAAGTTTTAAACTTTACAGTACAGAAACATAAATGAACACTCAAGCTATTTTATCCAATGTATCAGCCTTATTCTCCCCCCCCCCTTAAAAGTTTGTTTCAGGAATATAGCAAATATGTTTGAAAGAAGGGCACATTAAAAAAGCATTTATCATGGGACCATTCCATTTCACCCTAAAAATTAGCTTTCATTATAGAAGAACATGTAATTTTAAAACACCAGTTGTTGATACGGAGGAGGTATTAATTCGGACTTACCCTTGATCACGGCCCCTGATCCGACTGTGGCTCAAAATCTTGTCATAAGAAGATTCGCCTAGATGCAAAACTGACAAAAAACAAATGGAGATTGTGGCAACCCAAAGGAGCTCCATCCCTTTGTCTCTCTCTCTCTTTCTCTCTCTTTCTCACTGTGTCGCTCTCCTGACTATTCTGAGAACCGGCAAAGGGCTTGGGAAGGCTCAAAGTTTATATACATGCTCCAGCACAGGGGGAGGGGAAATGCATCAACCTGAGACTTGGAACCACCCTCCCAAGCAACAGGAACATCAGGCTGTTCTAATCAATCCTGCCCGAGTGTGGGATGCAAAGTCCAGTCAATGTGGGAGCTTTTTCCATTTCTCTATGAATCCGTGCGTCTGCAGTATCATGTTTCTAGGGGGCTTCTAACCAGCCCCCCCTTACATGACTATTTCAGCAGTCTGCCCACAAGAACCTGGAAGATGATGATTTATCATCAAAAGCTCACTATTTCTTTTATTGTTATTATTATTAATGGTCGATTAAAGGTCTCACCTACTCCTGCATTTGTTTGTATTGTTTCCACAACCATGCAGCCTCATCCTGATTTTTTCCTCAGTAGTCTGCAAAATTGTATTTTGTTAACTATCGCAAGACCTTCTTTATGGTGAAAAAAAAATAAAGAGAGAGGACAGACTATATTTCTTGAAGACTTAATTATAATTCTCGTTTCCCACCTGGAAGACCATGTGACCTAATTTTCATAAACAGTAAAGAAGGAAGTAAACCTGTTTCTGGACTCTCTTTGAAGGCCTCATAAACGAACACTCTTCCATTTACGCAAATCTCCTACACAAAGAAAACTAGATGCCAGCATTCTGCTTTTATAGGCTGGTTTTATATGAACAGAAATAATTTTGAATATTTCATCCGCAAGATCTCAAGGGACAACATCCAGGACAATTCTACCGCTAACATTTACACCTTCAGTGCTCCATGTCAGCACCACCTCAGCTTGTAAAGTAGTTTTCAATACTGCCCATAAAGTGTTACCTTTACCCTCAGGAAAGCTGTAACAAAGAATCTATATGTTCAGCAGACATGGCACATTTGAGGGAAATAAGGTAAAGCTTTTCCTGGATTGTATCACCTGACCTGATGGGTTTTGCCTCCATTTGATATATCTGCATGAAGAACTTTTAGGACAGGGGTGTCCAACCTTTCACCTTCCCTGAGCCACATTAGAAGACATGGCACATTTGAGGAAAAGAAGGTAAAGCTTTTCCTGGATTGTACCACCTGAGCTGATGGGTTTTTCCTCCGTTTGATGTGCATGAAGAACTTTTAGAATATCCCTCTCTATAAGATACAATTTTTTAAAAAAATAGTATGCTATACTTGATCTTAGCCAAAAGGCTGAAAAATGATACATTGTTTTTCCCTCTGCAAAGAACATATCTTGTGGGGGAGAGCAAAATGTGCCCTTGCACACAGTGGTGCGGAGTGGGTGGCCAGCACCTGTGGCAAGGCAAGCCGGGAGGGGGTCCACCTATTGATGGGGATGGCGCAATGCAGTCACGCAGCCCCCCATCTCCTCCCCTCCCACTCCTTCCTTCCTTCCCTCTCTCCCCCTCTACTGTTGTGACATGCCCCGGCAACATTCTGGCTGCAAGCGGCAGTGTAACTTGAAACTTTGGAATTTCTTTAAAATAAAAAATTGCACTGGGCCGCATTACGAGCTGACCTGGGCCATATGCGGCCCTCGGGCCGCAGGTTGGACAAGCCTGTTTTAGGATATCCTTCTCTATAAGATACATTTTAAAAAAAATAGTATGCTATACTTGATCTTAGCCAAAAGGCTGAAAAATGATACATTGTTTTTCCCTCTGCAAAGAACATATCTTGTGGGGGAGAGCAAAATGTGCCCTTGCACACAGTGGTGCGGAGTGGGTGGCCAGCACCTGGGGCGAGGCAAGTATTGCAGGGCGTGGGTCATGTGCCAGTTCTGTGATGCAATGGGTGGGCATGGTGGGGGCAGGGCAGGAGAAGCCCCTAGGTGGTGCCATGAAGCCCTTGCAGAGCCTCTTGAGGTCCGCGCCGGTGGCTTGGGCCTGGACTGCCAGGAAGGGGAGGAGGAGCCCGAGGAGCGCCATTGGAAGTGTGCTGGTTGGAGCAGCCCTTGCCCCCTCCCAAGAATTTTGCAAGACCACAAAATTTAGCACCCAGGGTAACTGCCCCTGTGCCCCCCACGTACTATGCCACTGCTCACAGACACACGTCAGCTTGAAAGAGTCCAGTCCAGTGAAAGCACTGCCACTTGATTCTGCCCACCACCTAAGGAGCGGTAACATGTATATCCATCCTTTTGTTGGACAACTGTCAAAAAAGGACTTGAAGGAATGTTTTAAAATATTCCAGACCTATTAATAAATAATCAAATAATGCGAAAAAAGGAGATGAGGTGGAATATTTCACTAGAACCATGTAGACCCCTCCTAATATCATTCCAGAAGGCAATATCGCCAGGAAAGAGGAACAGAAGGATCTTCATGGCGCCCTTATAGCTGAGGATGCATTTGTCTAAGTCCTCTTTGTCTATATGGGCCAGGAGAAGGTAAAGGTAAAGGTAAAGGTTCCCCTTGACAATTTTTTTTGTCCAGTCGTGTTTGACTCTAGGGTGCTGTGCTCATCCCCATTTCCAAGCCATAGAGCCAGCGTTTGTCCGAAGACAATCTTCCGTGGTCACATGGCCAGTGCGACTTAGACACGGAACGCTGTTACCTTCCCACCGAAGTGGTCCCTATTTATCTACTTGCATATGCATGCTTTCGAACCGCTAGGTTGGTGGGAGCTGGGACAAGTGATGGGCGCTCACTCCATCGCGTGGATTCGATCTTACGACTGCTTGGTCTTCTGACCCTGCAGCACAGGCTTCTACAGTTTAGCCCACAGCGCCACCACGTCCCTATGTGCCAGGAGAAGCAACCTTTAAATACAGTGCCATAGCTTGCCCCCCACCTTACCCAGAAGAAAATGATGGCTGGGCAGTGGGCACTCTTTCCCTCAGTCTAATTTATTCAGCACCTCACCAGACGCAAAATAAATTATTGTAACTAAAACAGTTTTTCTAAAAACTCCGATTTTCATGTGGAAGGGTAATTTGCACCTTACCAGATGGTCAGTTGCCAAGTACCTCTCCACATGAAAATAGGAGGGTTTTTTTTTGGGGGGGGGGAGAGAAATGTTTAGTTTGTGTATTGAAAACAGCTTTAAAGTCTTTCTCAACATCTAAGTTGCCTGTTTACACAACAGAAAGGAGAAAGGCCTATTGGGTTCCATGCCTCTAATTTTCCTGATCCTCAAGAGTTCATTTTTGCATGGGGGAGCATGCCAGATACTCCTTTTCCAAAACAGCTTTGAGATTTTAAAGTCAAGTCTCAACATTATGCTCAGTTCGGAACTTGCCCAAAGGAGCAGACACAGTGCTGCCCAATGCTTCCTTGGCTTGGATGGTAGCAAGGTATACCCTGGGACAGAAAAGTATGTCACTGGAGTTGACATTCTTGGGGAAAGTCATGTTGTAGCATCTCCTGAGACTTGCTGCAAGAAGAAAGACGCCTTGCTGTAAGAATTCATCCATTTATGAGGCACCTTTTAGAGAAATTCATGCAAAAAAAAGATTGAAAATGCTAGCATTTAATATGTGCATCATTGGGAGAAAATGCACAAAAATATGCTTTAGTCAGCAAAGAGAAGGAAATTAGCTAAAATGTGTGAATAAATGCTGAAAGTCACGGGGGAAATGTCAAAAATAAAGGGAAATGCACAGAAATTTCAGTGTGAAGAGAAAAGATGGAGCCTCACAACTCGATATGAAACCAGGAAGGGAAGAAAGGGTTTTTAGAGAAATGCAACGAAATTAGAACAGAGATTTTCACTTGCTTAGTGCAGACAGTATCTACCCGGTGTGGTGTAGTATATAGAGTAACAGACTAGGACTCAAGAGACCTGGGTTTGAATCCCTGCTCAGCCATGAAACTCACCGGGGGTGTGGAACTGGTAAAATCTCCCCTTGAGCATCTATCTGATCTCAAAAGCCTTATTAGAATTGCTATAAGTTGGTTCCGACTTGGTGTGTATAGTAACATAAACCCAAATGCAGGTCCCTGTTCCTTAACCAGGCTCTTTGCTTTTCCAGAACAATTCATGTTATTTGCTGATCATTGTAATGTTGCCGTTTCTAAGCTGGCCCATATGGATGAACCGTCAAGAATCAGATAGGTCATTATACTACAGTATCTCCAAAAAAACTGGAACCTAAGTAAGTCAAGTCAATATTTTCCTATGAGAGTGGTTCTTAAGTCAAAATGTTCTTAACTCAAGCCGTTCTTAAGTCAAGACCCCACTGTAACATAAACCTAAATGCAGGTCCCTGTTCCTTAACCAGGCTCTTTGCTTTTCCAGAACAATTCATGTTATTTGCTGATCATTGTAATGTTGCCGTTTCTAAGCTGGCCCATATGGATGAACCGTCAAGAATCAGATAGGTCATTATACTACAGTAGCTCCAAAAAAATTGGAACCAAATTTATTCTTGTTGCTATTCACACTTTTTTGTTTCATGTGTTCACACATTACAAACTGTCCTGACAAGTTCCTTGACAGTTTGGATCTCTGATAATTATAGCTTAATTGCCTGACAAAAATAAAAAACCTGTATCTAGAATTTTTTCTTTTATCACTAGGCTATTTGCACAAGATGAGGTATAAAGAAAAAAAGACGGAATGTAAAAATAAAACCATAATCCTCATTGAAACAGAATATTGTGTGCTTTATGTGTACATAGCTTTCATGCATTTCAATAAATATGCCAGCACAAGAGCAAGAGAGGGGGCTTTCTAGATCATTGTTGCACCTGCATTTCATAGCTATTGTCCTTCAAAAAATAAACAATTACTGTAGAAGCAAAAAGAGGAAGAGACACCAATTAAGCTGGGAAAGGGACTGAAGAACATCTGAAGGACCTCTTTCTGCCACCACTACCTTTGAGGGGAAGCAGAACTGGGAATTCTGGTAATTAGATATCAGCGCATGGTCATGTGATATCACTGTAAAATTGTACAGCAGGAAGGGACACCAAGCATCTCTGAATAATAATAATAATTTATTGTCATTGTAAGTATATACACATACAACGAAATTCACAAAGCGCAGATAGCTGTCCAGTCTCCATGTAAAAATCTCCAATGGAAGAAGGCCCGCCACCATCTGAGGTAATCCATGCCAAATCAAATAGCTCTCACTGTCAGGAAGTTCTTCCTAATGTTTA